CCATAAAAGAAAAAAAAGGTTAAATCACAATTTATCGAAATTAAAAATTTTGCTCTGTTAAAGACACAGTTAAGAAAATGGGAGGAAAAAAATAAAAGCAACAGACTGAAAGAATATTCATACATTTGACAAAGGACTTGTAGCCAGAATCTATAAAGAACCCTTGGAACTTACTCGTAAAACAACCTGGGGCACCAGGGTGGCTCAGTCAGTTAAGCATCTGACTCTTGATCTCTGCTCAGGTCATGATCCCAGGGTCCAGGAAAAGAGCCCCAAGTCACGCTCCCTGCTCAGTGGTAAGTCTGCTTGTCTCCCTCTCTCTCTGCCTCTCCTCCCAACTCGTGTTCTTTCTCTCTCTGTCAAATAAATAAAATCTTTAAAAAATGAGTAAATAAATAAAAAGACAACACCAAGCGTTGGCTAGGATATAGAGCAACTAGAACTCTCATCACTGTTGGCGGGAATGTAAAAATGGTGCATCTACTTTGGGAAAAGGCAGTTTCTTAGAAAGTAAATATATACCTATCATACAAAACAGCTGCTTTAAAATATATATTTATATATTTTATATATAAAATTTATATATATTTATATATAAATATAAATATATATATATATTTTTTAATTTGAGAGAGAGGGAGACAGAGCAGCAGAGAGCATGAATGGGGAAGAGAGGGAGAAGCAGGCTCCCTGGCAATGTAATACTTGCGGTTGTCACAGTTGCTACTGGCATCTATTAGATGGAAATCGGGATGCTGCTCAACATCCTACAATGCACACGACAGCCCCCCTACAACATGGGGCTTGATCCCGGGACCCTGGGATCATGGCCCCAGCTAAAGGCAGATGTTTCACCGACTGAGCCACCCATGTGCCCCAAAACAACTGCTTTTAAGTGTTTGCCCCCAGAGAAATGAAATCACATGTCCAAAGACTTTACACAAGTGTTTATGATAATAGCTTTATCATGATATCCGAAATCTGGACATAGCCCAAATGTCCAACAACAGGTGAACAGATAAACAAATTGTGGGGGACTCCTCAGCGATAAAAGGAAACAAGCTACTGACGTATACAGCGACATGGCCAAATCTCAAAAACCAGTAAAGGAGGCCAGACGCAAGAGTACATACTGTCCGGGTCCACTCTATGAAATTATAAAAATTGTGAAACTATAGTGACGGAAAGTGGATCAGTGGTTGCCTGAGGCCAGAGGTAAAAGTGGACTGACCTCAGAGAGACTGGAAAGGATTCTGGAGATAGAAACAGGCTGCGTGCTGATTGAGGTGATGGTTATCTGGGTGTAGACATTTGTCAAAACATCGATCTGCACACTTGAAACGGATACCGATTCTCGTGGGTAAATTACACCTCAATACGTTGATTAAAGGAATAAGGAAGGCAGGGCAGGGAGCCCCGTGGTGTTTCTGGAGCCTAAGGAGGCCTGGCTGGGCTGCGGCGTGATCCCGCTCTCTGTTTTAGCAGGCGACATTATCCGGGCGTTTTGCTGACAGGCAGTCAGAGACTGGGATTCTGAGTTTTTCTCTGCTGACTTATGTGTATGTCTTTCTAGCACTCAGTAAATGATGACAGTAAAAGGTTTGAGATCAATTCTCATCTTGTGTGCTCTGCGGCAGGAAACTCTGATTGTGATTCGTAACATTCCCTCTGTCAGCCTCTCTTTGAAAATGCAGTGGGAGTGAACAATTTGTCATTTACCTGGGAGAAGGAGGCTGGTTTTGGTAACCAGCGCCCTGAATCAAGAGCCACTTGGCACAGCCTCCAATTGGAATGAGTTGGGAGACTGGGCGCCTCATTAGTGCTTCTTCAAACCCAGGGGCCCTGGTGGGGTCACCTGGATTGGTGTGAGAAGTGTGACTGATTAAGAGATGACAGTCTCACTGATTGATTCCCTCCCAACCTAAGCTCATGCTACAGACTAATAGGGCCAGAGAGAACCATGAAATTGCCCCATTCTTGGGCCTAACACTGTCTAATCCATCCTGGACAGGGGAGGTCAGTTTGCCCTGGACAACCAACCACTGCGGTGACAGCGAGCGACCGTCTGAGATGCTCAAGGAGTAGTTAAAGGACAATCTGAGGGCCAGTGCCGATCCACCTGCCACTCGAGGGTCCAGGCAGCTCCTACACCAGGGTCTAGATGACCAGGGAGAACCAGCCGGTGCCCCAGGACTGGGCACTAAGGTCGGGAACTAGTCTACCCAGTGCTACTGGCAAGGAAGCAAAGGGATGAGGAAGGCGAGGCAGATTTTAGTCCTAGTCGTCCATGTGGTCTGTCCATCTCCTCATTTGTCCCACTCCATTCAGCTGCTTCCCAACAGGCAGGGCAACATCTCTAAAGTGCACTGCATCATTTCTTTTTCCAAGACCTTTAATGGCCCCCTTGCTTTTAGGATAAAATCCAGAAAGCCTTACCGTGGACTATGAAGCCCTGTGCATGCCATAATCCCCTAGGGGGCTTGCCCATAAAGCAGATTCTAAGCTCCTGGTCTGGAGATGCTGGTTTTGGAAGTCTGAGATGGACCAGGCTTCTGTACTGGCAACAAGCCCCTGGGAAAATCGTGCTGTAGGTGACCCACGAGTCCCGCTTCAGAAAGTCTGTCCTCCAGAATGGGCCTCCCCTACCTCCTCCCATCGCGTGCTGCTCACTCTTCCCTGGCCCATGACCTCAGAGTGCATGAAGTCCCTACCCTTCCTCTGTGGCAGGGTCCAAGTCCTCCCAGGGGCAGGGTCCAGGAAGGCCTTATAGAAGCTTTAGCCACCAGCCCCCAATCTCCATCAGTAACTCCTTCATGCAGTCTTTGATTTGGACCACTCTCATTTCCTCAAAGTCACATAAAGTGCTATTTTAAACTTAGCTTAGAGACATGATATAGGTTATGTGTCTTTGGGGCAGAAAAATCTGGAGCCACCAGAGTTCTTTCCTGTTTCAAGATGTTTCAGTGGCCTGTATTTCTTGACCTAGAAAGTCAATCTCTGGCCCAATTCAACTCATCCCACTGTTTGAGTTCAATGTCTAGCTTCCCACTAGGCTGAAAGCCCTCTGAGGCCAAGAGCGTCATCTCTTTTCTTCTATGCTTTATACCAAGAGCCGAGCATACTGCCTGGCATACAATTAATACTCAATGTGTTGCACAGACATGAAAGACCGGACGGTTTCCAGGGGACTTCTTAGTAAACAAAGCTCCTGAAATCTGGGGCGGGGGGGGCCCAAGGCAAGAGGACAGAGGCAGGGTGCAGATGAGCAGGTCCTAGGGCCAAGGGGAGCAGTGACCTGCCCCTGATGTTCCCTGCTGGGAGTAGTACAAAGGCTTCCCCATGCAGCTAGGGGGTGGTGGGTGGCAAGCCCCTGGTGTACCAGCAGCAGAGAGGGGCTCACTCCTAATACTGGTTAATGCTTGCAATGGCTTCAGGGCTCTTCCCAAACTTTTAATCCTTTGCTAGATTTCAGAGCTCAGTTCTGGTCCAGAAACTATGTGCAACAGTAGGACCCTGGGCTTCCCTTGCTCACCCTACTCCCCAGGGGCAGTGGTGACACACGGGGCACCAAGACCCCTTCACACACCTCCCACACCTCAGAGATCAGATTCAATTCACCTGGAAAGCTAAGTTTCCTTATGTCTCTTTCTTTGGGGGGGGGGGGTTAGAATGCCTGAAGAAGATGCCCTAATGAACTTATTTTCTTGATTTAAGAGTAGGGAGGGAGGGTTTGGGTCATTTTAAGGATTCCTTCCCTGTTTTACCAACTGAAAACTTTGGCTGTTTGTTTTCCCAGCAGGTATACTTTTCTAATGAACAGGGCCCCTGGCCTCTTCTTAGGAGGTACATGGCTTCAATTAAGTCACAAACCCCTTGTGCAGATTCATAGTCCCCTAGTTTAAAAGAATGGAAATCACTGGGGCAATAGAAGCAGCAGGGTCTTTGTCATCCAAATGCTGTGCTCAGGTGCCAGGTCTTCACCTTAACAGGGTAACCGTAGGCAGACCATTTACGTTCTGCAACAGCTCTGCAGAGCATTGCCAAGAGGTTCTCCTTGATCCACTCCATGAGAGCCACAAAGGTCTGAGTGTACCCGGGATCTCTGACAGCCCCAGCCAGCCACGGACCCCCAGGCAATTACCACCCACCACCTCTTCCCACACTCCTACCCACTACATGATTTCCACCTTACAGATGAGGAAACTGAGTCAAGGAAGGCTACTGAACACCCCTGATTGAGAATTGAGAGAGGTGGAGTCTTGGAAGTACAAGGAAAGAGGGGGGAAAAGAAAAGAAAAGAAAAGAAAGAGAGAGAGAGAGAGAGGAAAAAAAAAAAAAAAACAAAACCCAAACCAAAATCATGCGTCTTTGTTTCCCTTCTGGAACTGAGACTTCCAACTCTCCGGAGCGAGCATTACATCGGGTTCTGGAATGTTTTTCGAGACGAAGATAGCTTTCCCATCCTGTCGTGTTTTTCGCTCTCCTCTGATTCCCACCTGCTTGTTGCTGTCTGCTGGTGTCACACCTTCTGCACACTCGGAGCTCAGAGCAGAGCCGGGCTGGGTGAAACCGGGGCTCCATCTGCCCGCGTGCTTGCTGGGGGACGTCTGAAGGTAACTTTGTGCCGGCACCCTTTGCCAGGAGGCTGGGAAGCCGTCTGCAGTGCCACCCGGCTCCCATCCACCCTCGGCAGAATGAGCCGGTACCAAATCCAGCCCCCTGGTGCCGCTCAGCCAGATGGCAGGGGAAGCAAAACAAAAGTGACCTTGTTAGCAGAGTGTGTCTTCCCCGGGAGAAGCTATTTTTGTTGTGGTTGTGAACTGAAGTGTGTCTCGGCTGAATTTCTCCTTCCCTGCGAGGGCTGTGGAATGTTAATTTGTTCCAAAGTTCAGCATTTTGATTAGAACCAGGAGTGCCAGATTTTGTCAGAAACGTTTTGGAATGGGGTAGGCTCGTGCTCGCTCGCTCCCGCGCTCCCTCTCTCCCTCTCTCTTGGCCGCTGTACAAAGTCAATGTTGTTGCAGCAGCTGCTCTGGGGGAACGGCCCATCACAGATCAGAGCCGAGGGGTGAACGGGCTCCTCCCTGGATGCGGCCATGACCTCAGTGCCACAGAGGCACCGGAACTGGGGACAGCAGCAGGGTAGTAGCATTAGGGCACACCCTGCCTTTGCATGGAAAGGACAGAGAGCCCAACACGGCGCCTGGAACACACGAGTCCTGCATGCAAAACAGAAGAAAGAACAAGACCCCTAAAGGCCCAAAGCCACCTGGGCTTCAGCAGCCCAGAGGTCATGTTCAAGGTGGTTCTGGATTCTGAGGACCTTCCATCTGTTGTAAGTTCTCTTCCCTGATCCTCTTCACTCTTCTCTCTTCGATGGGTGATGAGCCCCAGTAACACGGGACTGTACTCTGTACTACAAAATGCCCCCAACTCCTCGCTCAGTCCTGGCCCCCCAGTCCTTCCTGGAGGTAATTAAGTGCAGGTCCTTCACCACAGTGTCACCAGGGCTCAACAGTATCAAACCTGCTGTTTGTCAGGCTGGAGGATTAAAAAATGGGTTTGTTTTCCTGTTTGTCTTGTAGCATGGCAGAGTGGTTAGAGGCATGGCCTCTGAACCCAGGATGCCTGGGATCTGATCCTGGTCCTGTAGCAGCAGCAGCAGCAGCAGCACTAATAATAATAGTAGTAGTAGTAATAGTAGGAGTAGGAGTAGGAGTAGTAGTAATAGTAGGAGTAGGAGTAGGAGTAGGAGTAGCAGTAGCGGCAGCTGTGTGGACGAGTCACAGGGTGGTGGGGAGGGCTTACGGACTTACACGGTCGAGAGCTCAGATCAGGCGTTGGCTTTTATTGTCACTGCTATGACTCCCTGGTCACTCATGACACTGGGCACATGCCCACCACCCACCATGCCCCTTCCCTGTCAAGGTAGTGTAGATGACTCCCCACATTTCCCAGGTTCCACAGGGAAGGCTGGGAAAGAACTCGGGAGGCGTGAACTCCGGACTTGGGCTTCAGCCCCCATGCGCACCACTGCAGCTTCTCAACTGCCTCTTCAAAGTTCAGCCCAGTGTGGAGTGGCTTTTCTGTTTCTTCCAGCTGAGACAACTAAGATCCCAAGGGTAATGGGACTGCTCCAGAGACACGGAGACCACTGAGGCAGAGCCGGGACTGGTATCCTGCAAGTTCTCCCTCTCCCTCTCCAGGGTCCACTCCAACCAGCCAGCGGTAGTCTCCCAAAGAGCCGGGTTGAGGAAGATCCTGAAGTGCAGCAAAGCTCTTGGGGAGAAAGATGCTCTGCCGTGAACACACGAGGGTGCTGGTGGTGGTGTGTCTGCAGCCCTCCTGCTCCCCACCACTCACCTCCACCCCTCCACCCCTCCACCCCTTACTCCACCACGGTTTTCCCTGCGGGGATTAATGCCTTCACTGATAGTAAGGAAAAGAAACTTCACGGCACTCAGGCTGCTCAGGCCGCATTTCTGGGCCTCTTTCTTTCTCCACCTGATCCAAAGGGGCCTTGGTGGGCGGTTCTGAGTGAAGCAGCCTGTGGAGCAGTTCTTTGCAGGAGGAAATGCTGAATGCCCCCGGTTGCTTCCTCCTCCCCTGACCGGCTTGGCAGGCCTCTGGTTGAGTGGGTACTCAGAAACACTGCAGGATAACCCCGAGGCAATAATGGTGTAAGAGCATTCGTGAGCCTACAGCTGGACCTGGCTCTCCAAGAGGCCTACATACTCTTTTTAAATTTTTTTTATTTTTTATGATAGTCATACAGAGAGAGAGAGAGAGAGGCAGAGACATAGGCAGAGGGAGAAGCAGGCTCCATGCACCGGGAGCCTGACGTGGGATTCGATCCCGGGGCTCCAGGATCGCGCCCTGGGCCAAAGGCAGGCGCCAAACCGCTGCGCCACCCAGGGATCCCGGCCTACATACTCTTGCTGTGGGATCAGTACTCGGGAGGGGAGGAGCGGATGTGCTCACCATGTCCGCAGAGGGAGCCGCTGTTGTTCAAGACGGTGGATCCAGAGGAGCCTGGGCAGCCTCCCTCTCCCTTTCCTACCCCTTGCTGGCCAGGGGTACTGTGGACGGCTCTGCTGCAGGCTGCCATCTGCTGCTGCAAACATCTGTGCTTGCTGCCTTCCAAGCGGATGGGCTGTCTGCCCTTCTTTCCCCACCTCCCTCTAGCTGCTCCTCCTTCCCTCTCCCCCGAGATGGCCATTCAAAAAAGTGTGCAGACTGTAGGCAGATGTTCAGGAGGCTTCCCTGCCGGTTCAGGTATGGGGCAGCTGACACCTCCTCATCAGTACCTGGGCAGCTGGATCTGCAAGCCTCCGGATGGCTCACAGGTGTGCCCTGCTTTGAGAAAACGCAATATTTAGAAAGAGGACACCTGTGGCAAGGTGTCTCTACATTGCACAATGACCATTCTAACCAATTTGATGATTTCTTTCCCCTGTTGGTTCTGGGTTTTTACGCAGAGTAAAAGAAATGCATATCAGATCACCTTGGAACTTCTCCAACATTCACCTGGCCAGTCCCCATGCCTCTTATGCCCAAACAAACCAGATTTGGGTAGGGTAGAGTTAGTTGAAAGATGTCTCTAGGGCCCAGATAAAGCTGACAGATCCCCTCTTTCATTACTACCACTGCTATCCTTGTGCATTTCAGTTTTGGTATAAAAATCGGTAATCAGGGGATCCCTGGGTGGCGCAGCGGTTTGGCGCCTGCCTTTGGCCCAGGGCGCGATCCTGGAGACCCGGGATCGAAACCCACATCAGGCTCCCGGTGCATGGAGCCTGCTTCTCCCTCTGCCTATGTCTCTGCCTCTCTCTCTCTCTCTCTCTCTCTCTCTCTCTCTGTGACTATCATAAATAAATAAAAAAAATAAAAAAAAATCGGTAATCACCTATACAACAGGGAAAGGACAGTCTGTTCAACAAGTGGTGCTGGGGAAACTGGACAGCTGCACGCAAAAGAATGCAGTTGAACCCTTACCTCATACCACATACAAAAATGAACTCAAAATGCAGTAAAGGCCTAAAATTAAGCCCCCAAACTATAACATTCCTAGAAGAAAACACAAGGGAAAAGCTTTAGGACATTGGATTTGGCAGTGATTTCATGGATATGACACCAAAAGCAAAAGCAACAAAAGCAGAAATAGGCAAATGGGACTACCTCAGACGTAGACACTTCTGTGTATCAAGGGAAACAACTGAGAAAGTGAAAAGCTAACCTGCAGAATGGGGGGAAAATATCTGCAAATCATGTATCTGATAAGGGGTTAATATCCAGAATATACAAGGAACTCCTACAATTTAATAACAAAATAACCCAAATAACCAGATTTCAAAATGGGCAAAAGACTTGAACAGACAATTCTCCAAAGAAGACACAGAGATAGCCAACAAGCATAGAAAAAGATGCTCAATATCCCTAATCATAAGAGAAATGCACATCAAAACTACAATGAGATGTCATCCCACACCCATTAGGATGGCTGCTAGTGGAAGAACAGAAAGAACAGGTGTTGACAAGAATGCAGAAAAGGTGGAACCCTCACTCATTGTTGATGGGAATGTAAAATTAGGATGGCTGCTAGTGGAAGAACAGAAAGAACAGGTGTTGGCAAGAATGCAGAAAAGGTGGAACCCTCACTCATTGTTGATGGGAATGTAAAATGGTGCAGCCATTAAGAAAATGAAAAGCTAGTATGGGGATTCCTCACAAAATTAAAAATAGAACTACCATAAGATCCAGCAGTCCTAATTCTGGGTCCATATTCAAAGAAATTGAAATCACAAAGAGATACCCACTTCTGTGTATGTCTGCACAACTAATGCATGTTTTTGTGGACTGACCATTTGTTCTTAGGGATGATCTAAACAGACTTTCAGGGCCTAGAAGAATTATACTGAGGCACCAGGCATTGTGCTCCTATATTTTAGAAATTCAGATACAAGATGTACATATTATGCTCATGAGGCCTGGAAGACTAGTTTTGGAAGATTCCCTGAGAAACAGGTGTTCTGTGGTCAAATGAGTTTGGGACATTCCATATTAAAGAGAACTAGAGAAGGGCACCTGGGAGCGTCTGCCTTTGGCTCAGGTCATGATCCCAGGGTCCTGGGATTGAGCCCTGTTGTTGGGCATAATGCTCAGGGGAGAGTCTGCTTCTCCCTCTCCTTCTCCCTACCCCCCTACTTGTGCTCTCTTCTCCCTCTGCCCTCATAAATACATACATACATACATACATAAAATCCTTTTAAAAATTAAAAATAAAGAGAACTAAAGAGGTTTCTAAACACAGGATGTCTTTTAAATGCCGAAGTCATGGTCACTCTCAAAACATGGTAAGAGCATACAGCTCTCCTCAGACTCAGACTCATTTAATGTTGCAACTCTTCTGGATCCCTCCTTTGAGGAAGATTTTGTAGTAACTTCAAGTAAATGATGAGCTAGAAGAATTTTGCATGAATTCATCCCGGTGGTAATCACACAGCATGGGGATTAGAGAAAGCTGGAGGCTGGTGGAGTTATAGAGGTTCTCCCTTTTCACATTCATTCATTCAATACACATTGTTAACTGTGTATTAACAGCCAGGTCTTATTAAAGACACGGATGATATGAAGATGGATGAAAATGGGCTGTGCCCTCAACCTCACATAGGCCAGGAAAATCTGAATGTTAGAAGCCCCACCAAACTGATTTAAGTCAAAAAGTGGAAGTTATGGGCTCAGCTGTCTGAAAAGTCTAGGGAATGGGTGGGAAGGTGAAACGAGAAATTATTACAAAGGCCCAAGAAACAGATGATGAGGGCCTGGGGCAACAGAGGGAGGATGGGATCCAAGAAATACTTCACCTATGAAATATTGGATTTGTCCAATCAACCAACACATGACCCTACGATGCTGTTGTATTCCAGACGCTGCAGGGATACAGAACAAATAAACACAAGACATGGTCTGGAGCCTGTAGGAGTTTACATCTAGTTGATCTAGTAATTATCAACTATCTTCCAATAAGGCTAATGCTAATGGGTTTTATCAGAAGATGAAAATAGCACCCCGACTCAGGTGCAAAAAGAGGACGGAAAAGACTTGCCACCACCTCCTGTGCCAGTTGTCACAACATGTGCTACCTTTGGGGACCCACACACTACTGGGTGACAGATTGAAACCCTGCACCTTTTTCTCCCACGAGATAAGTGGAATAATCCCAGCATAAGAGAGGAAGGAAATCGAACAAAACAGGAACTAGGGTGGGGTGGGGTTAAACAAGCCAAACAGGACAACAGATTAGAAAGCCTCTGCCAAGTTCCGTTGTGCCAGAAGAAATCTGCCCCAGGAGTCAGGTGTGACACAGGCATTCGGAAGGATGAATGAATTCCTCAACATACTTTGGGAACCGAGGCTCCCTAAAATAGCCTTCTGGCTCCCCACCCCATCACTTCCTCACCCCCCAAATTAAACAGCGGCCAACAATGATGTGAAGTGCAGGTTGGGGGTATATACACTTGTAGAGGAAAGAGATTGAAGTCAAGGGTGAAATTCAAGGTTGATGTTTTATTAGTTTCTTCCTGGAATTTGTGGATCTTGGGGTTGCAAACTGAGACCAAATGTTCCCTTTGAGCATTCTGTGCTGTGTGATTACCATTTGCATTTGCGTGGGGGTTGGGGAAAGCAGGCTGGCTGGAAAGTGTCCTTTGAGTTGCAAACATTGGGAGGCTTCTTCCAGGCAGCTCGGAAACCAAGTCCTATAGAATGCAGCTCAGTTCCTATTGATATCTTCAGGAGTCATTCAACACTCTGTGCTTGAAACCTATCAGTGATTTCCCACTGCTCTGGGTAAAGGTTACAATTCCTCATGGGCCATATGGTCCTGCTTTCTCTCTAGCTTCATTTTTATCCATGCGTCTCTTTATTCTCTGAACTATACTTCACTGGTGTTAAGTGTTAGTTCTTCTACCACAGGGCCTTTGCATATGCTATATCCATTGTCTAGACTTCATTTCACACCTGGCTCATTGAACTAACTCCTGTTTATCACTCAGTTGTCTCCTCCTCAGGGATGCCTTTTCCAGGGCCGGATTTCTCCATTATACACAGCAGGGACTGTGCTTTGGGATCCATGATCCATTTAGGAACCATGGAAAAAATGTTTAATCTCTTTGAGAATCAGAAGAATAAAGTGACTACAATGATTATTATATAATGATGAATCTAGCCTGGATTTATACTAATGCAGTTGTTAAAGGTAATTTTTTTAAAGATTATTTATTTGTGAGAGATACAGGGAAAGAGGCAGAGACCTAAGCAGAGGGAGAAGCAGGCTCCATGCAAGGAGCCCGGTGTGGGACTTGATCCTGGGACTCCAGGATCACATGCTGGGCTGAAGGCAGGCGCTAAACAGCTGAGTCACCCAGGTGTCCCTTTTTTTTTTTTTTTAATTTGAAAAGGGCCCACCAAGGCATGAATAACTGGGCTCTAGCCCTCTCAACCTCCCAGCAGCACTGGCCAGGTCTTCCCATCAAATGCTTTCATTGTGCCCTGAAGTCTTCCATCAAAGCACTTGTCACAGTTGTCATTACGTGTCCTCTAGACTTCGAGCTCCATGAGAGCAAGGAGCACAGCAGACAGGTCTCCAGACGGCATCGTAACACAGAGCCTGGCTCATTGCGCATGCTCAATAGATACCTGCTGCAGGTGTGGCTAAGCTGAGGCAGTTCACCTTTGAGGCTCAGCCCTGTCCTAAGCAAGAACACTCACTCGATCTGCTTTTAACCACCTGGCTGGCTAGCAGGTCCGAGGGGAGGGGACAGGGCGACAGGAAGCGAGAGGAAAGACTCACAGTGGACATGGGGGAAGCGACAGTGCCAAACTTCTCCCCTTGGGAAGCAGCGTGGGAGGGGTGGCAGAGACGGAGTGTAAACAAACATTTCCTTGTCTGGTAGGTCATTTTGTAATTATGCGCGGGTCAAGCACTTTAGATTCCCGGAAGTCAGACAATATCTGCTTCCAGAGGCCATTAATGGTCAAGGGCCCCTGGAGTGAAGAGGGACTTTCATTAAAAAGTCTTGTCCCATTCAGGCAGGAAGCGTGCTAAGTGACGGTCCCCGAGTGAAACAACGGAGCATGAAATAAGCAGTAGGAAGGGGCGCTGACCTCAGGGTTCAGAGAATAGGAGGGGTAACAAAAACATATGAAGTGGGGAATAGGCCAAGTGTGGTCTGAAGTCCTGGGCAAGGTGCTGGGGAGTGGGGAGGGGTGATAATGGTTTTGACTCTGTGCTCTTGGGGAAGGACGTTGGCCAGAGGCATGGAGAGCAGTGCCTTTCTCCGGGGAGGGAAAATGTGCACAGCTAGTGAGAAAGAGGACAACAGGAGGCCACGAAGAGGGAGCAGATGAGGCTGTTGCCAGGAGTGGTGCTCACCTTGCTCCCTGCCTGCCCTCCTTCACTCTTGCTCACAAAGACAGCAGGGGCTTTCACTTCACCCTCATGGCCAGGTTGAAGTGCTCTGGGAGGGAGGGGGTTGGAGGGTGAAGATGGTGAAAGGGAAGTCTGAAAGTCTGCCAAAAACAAAACCTACCCCCCCCACACACACACACACAAACCCCCAACTGGTAGCAAACAGGATGGACCAGTGGCCACGTGCCAAGATCCATTGGGTTCACATGTGACTCGGGCCTGGTGGCATAGCAGCCCCAGCTTCCCCTTGCAGGAACTAGGCAGATTATGGGAAGAGGCACCGGCATTCTTAAAATTCCCCTGTCCTCACAGACCTAAAATTAACATGACTGTTTATAGCGCTAGATATGGATTTGGAACATAGTATTAGTAAATAACATAATAATGGCCCAGGGATCCAATACTGGAGCTGCAGTTCTATTTGCCTATGGCAACCAACCACCAGTACATTTGATAGGTCAGAATTCTCATCACTGTCCTTAGTATTCAAGGATGACAGCGGCTGATACTGTTCCTCTACGAGGCAAAGATCACCAAAAGAACAAATCATATAGTCTTTTTCTTCAAACAGCTTTTTGAGATATCGCTCACACGCCACACAATGCAATGGTTTTTGTTATATTCACAGGGTTGTGCAACACCACAATTTAATTTTAGAACATTTCTGTCTCCCCTAAAAGAAACCCCACACCAGTAGCAGTTAGACCTGAGTTCCTCTTCCCTCTATTCCCTGGAAACCGCCAATCTCCTTTCTGTCTCTATGGCTTTGCTTATTCTATATACTTCGTATAAATAGAACCACACGATGTGGTCTTTCGGAGCTGGCTCCTTCCATTTAGCATAGTGTTTTCAACGTTCATCCGTGTTGGAGCATCTCTCAGCACCACATCATTTTCACTGCTAAATATGCTGTTGTAGGACACGCCACATTTTGCTTCTCCATTCATCACAGGTGGACATTTGGGTGGTTTCCACCTTTAGTCTGTTGTGAATAGTGCTGGTGGGAACACAGGTGCACTCAACCAGGTGACAAAATTGCAAGTGCCCCAATTCTCCTATGACTTCAAACCCTCTCTAACTTTCTTTGGACCTAAGAGTGCATGACAATATACTTTACTTACAATCTTATCTTTTCCTAAAAGGCAGTTTTTTATGGAGGGATCTTGGTAGCCTGTGGGTTGGAACAGTGGATTTTGTGAAGAGATGATGCTTTAATGATTCGGAAAAATAAAACTGCTGAGCTAGGCAGTATTTTTCATGTGATAACTTTGCAGGGTGTGTTAATTTGCACATATGCACTCTTACGGGGCAGGCCATATGCGGAGGTTGCAAACCTGCGCCCAGAGGCCAAATTCATTCCCACAGGCATGCCATGTTGGGCCAGGATATTATCTTTGGATTATCTGAGCTAGCATTTTCTTAAAAAGGATAAATATCTTAAAATAATAATAAATTTTTTTAAAAATCAAAATGGATAAAAATCTTGATTTCTGCCTTCTCTTTCTGCCTTTGAGATGGAGCCACCCTCTCCCAAGCTGCCAAGACCCCACGGCTCCCTTTCATCCCTCTGGTTTTGAGGCTCAGCTGTCAGTTATCATTCACATGCACTGGTGTTTTTCTGATGATAGAGAACCAGTTCTCTGTAGCCAGGCCTCCACCTGAGCAAATCTAGCTGAGCAAGCTTCAGGACAAATAGAGAAAGCATATTTCTTTGTGGAGAAAAAATTATTCCTATATGATTTAATATGCACAACCATATGCCTACAACTCTGATATATAGCGCGCATCTTCTCCTGCACGATGCCTGTCTCTATCCTCTCCCTACAGGCGTTGGTGTTTGCAGCCCTTGGCCTACAATCTTCCCACGTGTGTCTGCAGCCTCTCTCCTATCAGAGTGGATCTCCAGGTTCTTTGAGGATCATCCCTGTAACTTCTATAGTAGCCACCGCCCCCAGTTCCCTACAACACCTGCTATGGGACTGTTGACTAAAGACGCCTTGGTATGTGACCGGCTGTCACTTCCAACAAAATCTTTGAAGATGATAACAGGTACTCTTATTAAGCATTTACTGTGTATCTGGCTCTATTCTAAGCAACTCAGGACTTGGGTACTTAGATGATTAGGTTTTTACCTACCCCACGAAGAGACAAGCAAGGTATGTAAGTTGCCCAGTAAATGGTGGAGCTAGGGTTTGAAGTCAGTGGTCAGTCTGGAACATATCTTCGCAACCACTAGTCTACATGCCATTCTAGATTGATTTGTCTTTGGTACAAGGTGTTTGTTTTTTTTTAACCTAATGGGAGAAACTGAGGCATGAAAGAGACCCAAGTCTCACCTAGGATCAAATAAAGCCTGAGTGCCCGGGACTTTATTCCAAAAGAACCAGAAGTAAATTCCCTAGGCTGCTGTTTCATGTAGGTACCTGATGCTACTGGACAGAGACCGTCCCATTCTAGGCCATCATTATTTTTCCAAGTGTCAGAGATTTGGGAGTAGCAGTGAACATTTTGGAGAGATACAAGAACCTACTCAGAAAAAAATGTTTAGAAAGCTTCCTTTTCTCATTACAAGTTTAAAAAGAAAGAAAAAAAAACTATATCCCACAAGGAGATAAATTGTAATTCTTACAACTTAAATTTGTTACAAGCTGGACATACCTAAGATATAGTAACAGTAGCAAAGAGGTGACTGAAAATTTCAACTTTCCACCTGCAGAGCTCTTTGGGGTTGGACATGTGCAATCATGCCCACTTTTCCATTTATTCTAGAAACCCCTTACAACAGCTCATGGAGGCTGATTACAGGTGGGGACAGTGTGGCTCAGAAAGGTGAAGGAATGCTCTCAAGGTCCCACAGTCACATGCACCCAAGCAGCAGCACAGTGGGTGTCAGAAATGGTTCATTCCATACAACAGGCCAATTAGCAAACATGTACTGGGGCCCAGAAGAAGCACTGGCAATATAGGGACAAGTCAGATATGCCTTGCTCACCATGGCGATAGGGGCTCTGTGCTTGGCTCACCCCAATGCGTCCAAGTGCCCCAGGCTGGCTGCTCTGGGTCCTGGCAGCCCCCCACAGCCAAAGTCCTAGCCAGCTGCAGTGTTGGCCCTCCCTTCGATAACACTCCTCTACCAGTGCCCAGCTTCCTGCTAGTGGCTGCCCCAGCCTCAATGAAGCCTGGGCACTAAGGAGTCTAAACAAGTTCCCCTCAAGGCCAATAAATTAAGCTGGACCCCTCAATCACTCTTCGCATGAAAATAAATTCTAAAGGGATTAATGTTCAATTTAAAAATTAAAGCCATAAAAAGTCTAGGGAGAAAAAAATGGTCATTAAAAATATATATAATCATGGAGAGGAAAAGGCAAACACAAAAACCCAAAAGCCATAAGGAAAGATTAATATGACCAACTACATAGAAATTAAAATCTCCTATGTGGTGAAAAAAATTACAAATGCAAACAATAAACCTGAAAAATATTTGTAATGCATTTCTTTAGTATTCAAAGAGCTCTTATATATCTCTATAAAAAAGACAAAGCCAAAACAGAAAATGTACAAAGGACATGAAAACCAGTTCATAAAAGAAATATAAGTGGCCAATAAACATGTGAAAAAAAAATGCACCTCATAATGCATGTGAATTTAAATGAGTCAATTCTTCAGCAGTCAGATTGGCAAAGATTAAACAGGTTGATGATGCCCAGGATGGGTGAGGATGTGGGATCAGTACTTTAATGTATTCTCGGGGAGGGCAAACTGGTGCAGCGATATGGAGTCCAATTTAGCCATATCTAGTGAATTTTTAAAGGATGCATAGCCAGGGACTAGCAAGTTCACTTCTAGTCATTTATCCTACAGAGATGTTTGCTCAAGCACTCTACAACTTACATACAAGGATGCTTCAGCTACAGTCTCATCGGTAGGAGATAAGGCGCCACCAAATAGCCACCTGTAGGCAAATGATGAAGTCACGAAGTATTCTCCAGCTACATTAAAGAAGAAAGAAGGGATCCCTGGGTGGCACAGTGGTTTGGCGCCTGCCTTTGGCCCAGGGCGCGATCCTGGAGACCCGGGATCGAATCCCACGTCGGGCTCCTGGTGCATGGAGCCTGCTTCTCCCTCTGCCTGTGTCTCTGCCTCTCCTCTCTCTCTCTCTCTCTCTCTGTGTGTGACTATCATGAATAAATAAATAAAATCTTTAAAAAAAAAAAAAGAAGAGAGAAGTCTGTATGTGCCCATCTGGAAAGATCTCCAACATATGCAAACAAAACGAAACAACAAGCAAATAAGCAACACCCAGAACATCCTCAGACTAGCCCTGACTACCGTGGCATCTCCTCTCCTGCCTTATTCCACTTCCAGCCCGAGGTGAGGGATAACTCACTAACTGAATGACCTTGGGTAAGTTACTCAATCTCTTGGTGCCTCAGTCTCCTCCCCAGAGACTGGAGATCCTGAGTGCCCCTGTCATAACGTACAATAGAACAGTGCATAGAGAGCATTTAGAAGAATTCATGGTACCCGGTAAGCACTACCTAAATATTGGGCTTTTAAAAATTATCAGGAAGTAAAAGAGCAAGAAGTGGAACAGTGTAGGCAGTGTGCTATAGAGCTTTTGGTCTTCAAGGAAAAAAGACAACACGTGCAGGTATCCATCAGTGCGCACAGCAACTATCTCTGCCTAAATACAAGGAAATGGTGGCTTTGCAAAGTAACAGAGAGGCTGGGGGCAGCAGTGAGAGGGAGAAAAGCCCTTCTGAATGTTGAGCCATTTTTATATATACATAAAGAAACACACAATTTCAGGGAAGCTGTACAAGAAATTGTTACCAGAGGTTACACCTGGGAGTGAGAAGACTTTCACTTTCATTCCTTTTCTTCCATGCCACTTAATTTTTAAGCTTATATGCCTATGTGAGCTTTATAGCAAAAAAATAAACAAAACAAAGAAACCAAATTAAAAAAAAAAAACAGAAAAGCGTATCTGATCTAAAAAAGAGAAGAGACTCGCCCTCCCCAATAGTGTGTTCTTTCAGCTGAGCAGCCTGCCATACTGGAGGCTGGGGGAGCAGTGGGGCGGGCAGCGCTGGAATCCGATGGGCAGTCGTGGTTCCGGGCTGCAGTCTGGCACTGGGTATTTCTCCGATCCATCTCCCACTGGTCATGGAATCAATATCCACTTAAAAACCTCTGCTGGTCTCCCACTGCCTGCAGGAAAAAGTCCAAACTCTTAACACAGCATGCAGGGTCCTTTGCAGCCTGCGCCCCCACACCTCTGCAGCTTCATCCTGTAAGTCCCTGTCATACCAAGCAAGCAGTGCGCCACTGAGGGAAGTGTGGGGGGTGGGGAGGAGACAGGTGGACCTTGTTGGGGGGCTCTTAGTTCGCCACTCATTAGCCTTGGCCTTGGCCAAGCAATGCAGTCTCTCCCAACACCACCCAAAGAGCAAGGATAATACCACTTAGTCCTTGCAGGACTTTGGAGGATTCAGTAACATTCATTGGAGGATTCAGGATGTACATTAGAGCAGCGAGCATATAATATGGCATGTAATCATCCACTGGTGCAGTGTGATGGCTCCAGCAAGTTCTTTTGTCACCTGTTTTGGTCTAAGTAGAAACTCTTCCTTCCACTCTTCAATCTCCTTCCTCCTTTTCTGCCTGGCAAACATCTCCTGAATGTTTGCCACCCTCGTCTTTGCATTCCAAGGGGATTAATTCACTTGCCCGTGGTGACTTAAACCACTTTGTATTTTAATTATGTTACAGGAGGGCATGGGTGGTGTCTTCCTTATCACTTAGATCTGGGCAGAGTAGGTGCTCAGTAAATGGTTCAGAATAAATACACTTGCTCGCCTACCCTCAGTGAACTTTATCATGTTCATCTAGAGAAAGGGCTTAACGGAGAAAAAGAAAATATGCTTCCAGTTCAAGGAGGCAGAAGAGGGCTGCAGTGAACTCCCAGTTCCCAGTGGCTGGTCTTTTGTCTAAAAGAAAGTCACACAGACCTTTGCCATTGGTTTCATAATGCTGTGCCATTTCTCACCTAGGAGACTTCCCTTTAATGGGAACCTGTTTGCATACAATGTAACCCCCGGGCACAATAACCCTGCCTTCTCTTTCAAATGAAATGTTTGCAATGAAATGCAGAGGCAACAGGAACCCTTTTGCTTTCCAATTACCTATGCGAAGGCACCAGCACCTGAGAAATATCAACCCTGTTCTCTTCCTGTCCGTGACCCCGGAAAATGTCAGAACAGATGTTTCCAAATTGTGTATAAAAATAAGCAAACCAACGGTAAAGGGCTCCCTGGCTGGCCCCCACCTGCCCAGCATCAGGCTGGAGTGTGGTTTGATGGTCGTGGGGGGAAACCCTTGAACCGAGAAGGTCCAGGTGGGAGCTGTGCTGAGCTTCGCAGTGTCTGCAGCAGCACACTGGGTGGGATGGAGGGAGGGGCCCCAGCGCCCTGAGCCTCGGGGCTGGCACCCTCCGCAGCCTGCCCTGAGGGAGAGCAGGATGGTGGCAGGTATGGCTGGATCAAGGGTCCCCTGCTGTCACCCACTGGAAGAATGAGGGAGAGGGGAAGGAGGAAAGGGAAAGTGCAGGACCAGAAGGAAGCTGCATTTACTCAGTAGCTTCCTAGGTGCCTAGTGCTGTGCTGAGGGCTTTTGTATATATAATCTCCTATCATCCCCATGTCCGAGATGGATGTTCCCATTCTGCAGGTGAGGAAACTGAGTCCAGAGAGGGATGTGCACGCAGACACGCAGGCAGGAGCAGCCAGAATTCCAGCCAGCCCTTTCAACACTGCTCCTCTGCAAGGAGGGCGCACTTTCCGCTGCTCGCTCCCTCCTCCACCCTGGCAGTGCTAACCTGCCTTCAGGCCAGAGGAAAGCTGTTTCTAGAGAAGCCACATCCACAGGCAAGGAGGGAGGAGGCGGTGCTGCCCCCTCGTGTTGGATGGACCACACACACACACACACACACACACACACACACACAACCTCCGCGTCTCAGGACAGCTCTTTCCCTTTCAGGGTGCCCCAGACCTCCATGTGAATCAGACTTCAACTTCGTAATAAAGAAGAGGCACTCTGTCATTCACCCCGTCGCCCATGCAGAATTCTGGGGGTGGCCCTGGCCCAGCGGTGCACATAGAGAGGCCACATGTGGATGTGCCAGGGAAGTCCTTATATACCCTGGGTTCTCAGAGTTAGCACAACTAGATTCCAGGGCCATCTTTGCTTTAAAAAAATACATCCATCAACTTCAGCGCAGCAGAAGCTCTGATCCCAAGCACATCTGTGCAGCAACACAGTGTTCTGGGCAGGCAAACACTGCCCCCACCCCATCTTTAAAGACAGAATGACTCACCCATATAAGCAGGGCAGGAACTCCGTGTTTGCTTGGGGCAGGACGGGGGGCGGCTTTTTCTGGTGGGGAAAAACCAAAGTTTATGTATAATTGATGCAAGATGTCATTTTTTTGGATCAGATAAAAGATTTTCTGCTATTCATCCCACTAAAAAGACTTTCTATAAATTTCCTTTTACAGAGTAAGTGCTCAGTAATCTTTAGAATCCAATTCCAGATAAGCCCATGCTTTAAAACAGAATCGTGGACACTCTCTTCTTCCCCAACAAGGGATGGATCCCACCTTCGGAATGCTCTGAACGCTCTGCATCTTTCTGGAAACTTCCCTGACCTTTGTTTGCCTCATTTTCTCCTATCTGTCAAATGGAGCCACACTAGCTACTATTATTCATCAAGCGATTTCAAGGAAATGTGAGGCTCTTAAAGAAGATTTCAATCTCAGACTTGGAATTCTCATTACAATGGCTTGTTTCACCTTCAAAGCACGATAGCATTAACGAGGTCTGCCTAATTACACTGCAGAGCAATGGCTTGCATTTATGTTGCTGCATGTGACGGAAATTGGGGTGGTCATTTGTCGAAAACGTTCCCATGCCTGAGAGATAGGTACATAAACTTTCAGCCTTATCTGATTATCAATGAAGGTTTTGTATGTGTGGTGTGTGTTTTAAGGGTCTAAATGCTGGGTGCATGACAAAAGAATGGTTCCTCTTTGCAATATGCCAGCTGTCATGGGTTTCCAGGCAAGATATTATTTCTGAAAAATAGATATGGACAATAGATAATGTCTATATTAATATCACTAAAACGTGGTCCTCTCCTGTAGCTCACCCGAGACGAGGACAGCAGTGTATAAAGAGGCAGACGCCAGACAAGAGACTTTTTTCTTGTGACAGTTTGAGCTTCCCTGCTGCAATTAACTTTTTCTCCCCCTCCTTCTCCTCCTTCATCTCATGCAATGCGGTTCAGAAAAAGGGGGCCTGTATTTTCCTCCTGCTGATGGAAGTTGATTAGCAGTCAGGTGGAGTGATGCTCAGGGGACAACACAGCGGATTAATTAAATCACTTCTACTGGCTAAGTGGTGACACTTTGATTTATAGCAGAACTCACTCAACCAGACAGCAGCTTTTCTTGCATGCCGAAGGAGGAAGGGCCAAAGTGGCCACTGGTTGGAGGCCGAGGGCTTTGCAAACTTTAAAGACAAGCGTCCTAGTCATTAAAGCAGAGGCCCCTGCTGGGCTCCTCTCTTAGGGGCGGGGAGGCCTGCAGGCTCAGGAGAGGAACCAGAGAGTAGGGAGCAGCTGAGGCTGGCCTGCAAGCTGCTGAGGAGCAAGAAGACCCGTTTCAGAACACACAGAACTCGATTACACCCCTACAGAAAAAGCAACCTCGAAACGGCAGGATCATCTCTATGTCTGTTGGGTGTTTTGTTTTGTTTTGTTTTGAAGTAATCTCTATGCCTAACGTGGGGCTCAAACTCATGACCCCGAGATCAAGAGTCGCAGGCTCCATCAACTGAGCCAGCCAGGAGTCCCTCTAGGTCTGTTTTTACTGGACTGCTCGTCGGTATTGCACCTTGGCTCACCCACAGGAAATAGCCCCGTGATGGTCCTGTC